ATTGCATACAATATCTAAACTTTTTTTGGAAACATAGTTAACACGGGTGTTCAAAAGTCAACATCCGTTTAAAAGTTAATATTTTGTAAATTTAAAATGGGGCAGAGTTAGTCAACATTAAATTTGGCAACAAACTAACCAATTTGAAAAATGAAAAAAATTTCGACCAAAAAAAAATGAAAAAATGAAAAATTTAAGATACTCAAAATTTAAAAGCTTCTAAATTAAAAACCCAAAATACAAATTGTTAATATTATGTACTATATACATCATGTATTACATGAGAAATATAGTTTGTAAGTTAAGAGAATGAGATATTTATTTACTTACTATAAATGAAAACAAAAAAAAAATTATTATTATGTTTGACCAAAAAATAAATATTTATTATTATATTTGAAATTTATAGTATTTCTATGTTGTCTTTTTATTAACTTGTCCATTCGAACGCGCGAAATTTAAAATTGCCCGCGAGTTTTAATCAAAGTTAAAAAAGACTCCTTATATGAAAGATAATACTCCTTTCAAAAGCTTCACTCCCATTTTTCTTATTTTGTCATTCTTCATTATGGCCGATGGAAAAAGCAATCTTGATTTGTAAGTTCTTAGAGATTTTCATTTTACAGTATCTAGATAATATTGAGAATTATAAAAGAAGAAGATCCATTACGTTATGTCATTTATTTATCAGATTGGAGTCATTTATGATTATCATTTTGATAATTATAAAATATGACAATCTTGTTGAGAAAGGTTTAACCATCTGGTTAAGAACCTAAGAATTTAAACATTAATTTTTCAGAAAGATCTGAGTTTTTTATATAGAAATGCTTAAAAATTTACGTAGTTAATTATTTGATTTATGTTTATCATATCTTTTAGTTTATCAGAGGTTTTAAAATAACTGAAAAACTTAATACCTCATTGCAAATAATATATATAATGATAAATATTTATTTTTGTATTAAATTCTTCATTAGGACAAAAAACAAAGGTGAGGGTGAAAATGCCGAGAATAAGGATTGGTCGATTCTTCTTCCTGAACTTTTGAGATTAGTTATGTCTCGCCTCATTGTGAAAGACAGCATTCATGCCTCCGCAGTCTGCAAAGCGTGGTATAAATCTAGTGTCTCTATCCAGATTAAGAGTATACATCTATTGTTTATGAAACTCCATTTATCCTCAAGAACCAAAGGGTCTTGTGAGTTGTACGATCCCTCACAGGATACAACACACACTATCGAGTTTCCAGAATTAGCAAGCATGAGAGTTTATTACTCCAAAGATGGTTGGTTGCTTATGCAGAAAAAACGTTCATCTGAGATGTTTTTCTTCAATCCATTTACTCGGACGCTCATCAATTTGCCTACTTGTTACAACGAATCCGCTATTTTCACATGCGCACCTACATCCAGTAGTTGTTTGGTTTTTGGGTTGACAAACATCGACATCAACAGGAATATAGTTGGAGTCAACACTTTTAGGTTCGGCGAAATCCAGTGGACGACTACTCATTTCATAAGTCATGAACGTTTTTTCGCTTATTACAACAAAATTATCTTCTCAGGAGGTCTCTTTTATTGTCTTGGTGGATTTGGCTCTTTAGCGGTGTTTGATCCATCCAAACACACTTGGAACAGTCACTGTCTAAAGTATGATGAAGACTTCTCAACTTCGACAAAAATACCAATATGGTTTGGAACTTACTTTCTAGAGATTAAAAGAGATATTTTTCTCCTAAGAAATTTGGGTGAGAAGCCGCGAGTGTTTCGACTAAACCGTGATGGAGATTGGAATTGGGAAGAGAAAGAAAAAAATAAAGATTGGTTGACGATTTTTGGAGCTTCTTGTGCATCCGAGTTTAGATCAGACCTTGCAAACGACATGAAAAATAAACTATTTTTAACTGAGTCGCGTCATCCCATGGTTACTACATATTTCTTTGATGAAGGTAAGTATCTCCCGGGAACTTCATGTATACCAGCTTGTGGTAGGAAAACTATGATTGAAAGTGTTTGGATTGAGCCACCAAAACAATGCTTAGATTTTATCTAAATCAATCATTTGATGAAGATAAAGAGTATTGGTTTAATTATCGTCTCGTAAAAAGTACCCATCTACCTCTGCATAAGAACAAAACTTTTCTTTATTTTCATTTTCATGTTTCTTTGTATTGGATTTACTGCTTTTTTTAAAACTAGTTTGCTCGGTTGTGCTTTTGTCATATTTATGATGTGGTATATTATGAATGTTTGATTTCTAGTTAACAAAAATTGGTTATTTTCTTCTAGTTTAAATTAGCAAATATTTTACAGTGGACATACCAAAAGTAACATTGTTGAATTTGATATAATGAAAATAAACACTAATGATAAAATGATTTCACAAATAAACACTATACGTAATCAATTATAAAAGAGATTGCAAGAATCTTATATATAAAGTTGAGTGTCTCTCACAAAGAGTTGACACATAAGCACCTTCTACTTTGACACATCATCTTTGATAAATAAATCCAAATATTAATTTGAAAATATTGAAAATGGCACATACGATTTCATTTAATTCCAGTCAAAGATAATTTTGCCTTTTCATTTATCAAAATTTATGCTCCCAAGAACTATGGAAATGGTCACCAGCTACTTCTCTTTGATCAGCAACATGAACTTTCATATGTATTTATTAGAGGTTTGGAAGAGTTTTCAGAAAAATAAAACTATGGCTGTTGATTTCTATTTGCTCTTTCATCATGCGGTTAGTGAATCCACAATGGTAGAATATCTTCAAATGAGGTCTAATCTATATAATAACAATATCGTGTTCAATTATTGAATTAAATTTTGATATCTAAAAAACAATTGAACCAATGAAAAACTTACAATTTTTATTAGAGTTTTTATTGAGGTTCTACGTATAGAACCCATCTCTCTCTTTCATAC